AAAAAAAAAAAGATTTGCTGAGGAATGATAGCATGTTTGGCTGATTTCCTGGTCAAACCATATATTGACAGCGTTTTGAGCAGTTTTCTCGAAATAATCGTACAAAAGGGCACGCATTACTTAGTTTTAATTGTTGGTTTATTGGTCCAGCGAATTAAAATTGTTGAAAAATGTTATAAAAAATGCCGGCTCATACACAGTGCTGTGCACGTATTTACTCTTGAAATTAGAAAGTATAGAGAATTTCATTTCACAGTCATTTCTTACATTCAAAAATATCCTGCGGATGGCTTACTTTTTTGCTGGTCCCTCGTTAGTTAGTATCTTGTACGGAAAGCAGTTCAATTTTAATTAGCAATCACTGCACCACTCTTTTGAGATTTAATGAAAAATAATTAGACAGTTTTGTTTCTACGGATTCCTCTGCAATTTTTAAACTTAGCCTTGCTTGTATCTCCTTGTTGTAGAATTCTCCTAGTTTGTGACAACAAAATCATTCAGATTTGCAATGGAATATGGAGAAACGAAACATGACCAGAAAATAGCTTAAGAAATAAAAGTGTATCTGAATTTGCGGAGAAATATGTATATGGGAAGTGCAAGAGATTCCTTGAATAAAATTCCAGTGCGAAACTTAAATTGCTAGGCTGGCCCGAAGGCTATTATAATTGAACATGATGTCTAAATAGGGATAATTTCATCTTTTTCAACCAGTTGTAACGCAATATCACAACTTTGCAGCTTAATATGTTTTATTTGCGGACCGTCGTTAATGGCGCTATATTTTATCCACAAAAAATCTTGTGGCGGTTTTTATCAATTCTTTTGAGAACCTGGCAGATTTGAGTATTCTGAACTGTTTAAATAATGATCAGATAGAGCACACTTTATCTGCCCGAAGCAATAAATTTCCCTCTTCTTTCTTTAGAGCTTTTGTGAGAAACTTTTTTCGTAAAACCTTGACTTGGTGCTAACTGGCGCACGCTGGCACCCAAAATGGAGATTTGTTATTTTGAGGAAGTTTGAAGATCAAAATTAAACGTATTGTACCTAAGACAGACACAAAGGTCACCATGGCAGTGACAAAGAAAATATTAGTCGAAAAGTGATCAATTACGATGATCTCGCTAATGTTTCTATCCTACGGCAATTCATCTTAGTTAGGGTGCAATACCAAATTGTGGATTTTGAGTGGCCGTCTTTGATATAATAGTAATAATAGTAGTAAATTAACAGCTAAGTTTCTTTTGCAATTTTATATCATATTAACATTTCAAAGTGAGTGACCTGCTCCTGCCTTTAGAAACAAGACGATATAAATCCGATGAGATCAAAAAATATGGCATCGTTTTGACATACGAAGAAAAATCACGCACCAACCTAATATGATAATATCCTTTAAAAATCTTATTAAATATCGTCAAACACGAAGTCCTTGCGCGATATGCCTTTCTTTTGAATTTTTCAAAGTCTCTAATTTCTCATACTTGTACAAGGTTTTTTGTTTTTAAATAGGTATTTCATATCATATCGCGATACCTTAGAACGCTTCCAAGAGTTCTACAGCTAATTCAAAGACATGAAATGATTCAAAGATCTTTGTAAATTGTCTAGCTGGGTAGGTTGTACGCTGTTCAAAATTTATTAATATCCGTTTGTACTGACAGTGTAAGAGATATGCCGATATTGCATACATGTATACAAGAAATACACACAGCTCTCTGATGTTGTAAAAATTGAGAAATAGGTAGATACCTGACCTTTATTTTAATATTGCATATTTATATTGTTAAATTAACTCAGTGTCTAAATATTTTGGAAGCTTTTAAGATGACAATTTCAAAATAGATAGACGAGCTTATTCATTAATTTGCAAAACTGATTTTGCTATGGCAATTTAGAAAAATTTAGACTTTGCCCGTTTTTAATGAGCAAATCCGAAAAAAAGTTTTACAGGGAAAAAACTTTTCTCAGTTGTATACTTTTCCTGCAGCAATGTTTACTGTTTATGCCAATCAGTTAATGCTCCAAAAATTGTGAAAATACGGAAATTTTTTTTGAAATCTTATAAATTGTTTATAACCTTGGCGCAACCTTTGTGTACCTTTGCGATTCTCTCAGCATTACATTTTTCTTCGTATCCTTCAAAAATGTTGTAGTCAGAGAGTGCTTTCTGCAAAATGAGTTACTATAGTTGAATAGATGTCCAGCGTTCAGAAGAAAGCGTAGCTCAAAGCACTCTGGAGCAATAATGTAGAAGAACGTGGGATGAACCGAACAACAATACACTTATAACGATTATGCATATGGAGTTGGTCGAAGTTGTAAACGCACCTGGAAGAACAGCGTGTCATTATCGGATTTCTCTAGGATTTTAGTAGAACTGGTTTCTACTATTAGGCTAACTGTATGTAGAAAACTTTTCGTTCAGTTCATAAGAGAACTGAAAAATCGCTCAAAAGACATATTGCAAAGGTAGTTGAAATTGTGAACGTTTCAAAGCAATCCTTATGTTCTCTTATCTTGAAACCTTGATATTATTTGGTTTATCTTGTTCTTCTGTATGCGATTACAAGTCGTCAGTGAAACACTTTATTTCAAAGCTCAACGTTGTGGCACAACGCCTCCTTCGTAGGCCAAATGATTCATTCACCTTTTAACACATGTCCCATCCCACCGAACACCTCCTCCATTCCGTACATTCAATCATCCATTATGACCGAAGCTGGCTCAGAATCGACACTCACCAAGTGTTTGATCCTGTTTAGCAAGAGCTGATCTCACTTTTGCCTAGGCGATTAAGATGACTTAAATGCGCTTAAAAATGGCAGGCAATCTCAAAGATCACAGAATGATAGAAATGGCTGTAGATCATTTGTAATAGAGAGATGCTCATCTTTGCTATTCATTCTGGGTACGCGCGCAAGTATCCAAGAGGCTTTCAACGCTTTTTGGGAAGATATTTTTATCCAACGTTCGAAATGTGCATCTTATATGGAGATCGACCCCGTTATGGTCTTCCTTCCTGTAATTGCAAAGGGCTCACAATATCTATCTTCTTTTGCCAGCCGAGTGCTCATTTACACGTTCATGAAGTGGTTGACCGGTCTCGCCGATGTTGGTGGCATGGTGTGCACTCCAGTTGATACTACTCCTCACTTAGAGCGGTCTCCCGATCTTCCGTTCGGACACACAACGTGATTCGCCGTGATGACCTATTATATAACCTATCACGAACTAGTTGTCTCTTGATATTATTTCGAGTAATGTTTACAGGGCAACATCATTTTTGTCCTCGCCCTGAGCACTGTTTATATGCGGTAGTCACTTTGTCGGAGATGAACGATAAAATGAGGGACCTTAATTCCAGTATGTCCCCTTGCGCTCATAGATGTTCTTTGCAATACATCGATGATTGTGGACATCCACTTGTGA